GATTCCACACAAATCTTAAGATGATTTGTTCCAACTCTCTGAAAAGTCCATGGTATTTTGATAGGGATTGCACTGAATGTGTACATTGCCCTGGGTAACATTGACGTTTTCACAATATTAATTCTTCCAATCCATGAGCATGGAATATTTTTCCACCTCTTTGTGCCTTTCTCAATTTCTTTCAGAAGTGTTCTGTAGTTTTTAGGGTATAAATCCTTTATCTTATTGGTTAGGTTTATTCTTAGGTAACTTATGCTGTTGGGTGCAATTGTAAATGGGATTGACCCCTTAATTTCTTTTTCTTCAGTCTCATTGTTAAGTGTATAGAAATGCCGCTGATTTCTGGGCATTGATTTTGTATCCTGCCACACTGCTGAATTGCTTTCTGAGTTCTAGCAATCTTTGGGTGGAGACTTTTGGGTTTTCTAAGTAGTATCATGTCATCTGAAAAGAGGGAGAGTTTGAATTCTTCTTTGCCAATTTGAATGCCTTTTATTTCTTTTTGTTGTCTGATTGCTGAGGCTAGGACTTCTAGTACTATGTTGAATAGCAGTGGTGAGAGTGGACATCCCTGTCTTGTTCCTGATCTTAGGGGAAAGGCTCCCAGTGTTTCCCCTTTGAGAATGATATTTGCTGTGGGCTTTTCATAGATGGCTTTTAAGATGCTGAGGAATGTTTCCTCTCTCCCTACACTCTGAAGAGTTTGGATCAGGAATGGATGCTGTATTTTGTCAAATGCTTTCTCTGCACCTACTGAGTGGATCATATGGTTCTTGTTTCTTCTCTTGTTGATATGATAAATCACATTGATTGCTTTATGAGTGTGAACCAGCCTTGTGTCCCGGGGATAAATCCCACTTGGTCATGGTGATTAATCTTCTTAATGTATTTTTGGGTCCTATTAGCTAGAATCTTGCTGAGAATTTTTGCCTCTGTGTTCATCATGGATATTGGTCAATAATTCTCCTTTTTGGTGGGGTCTTTGCCTGGTTTTGGAATCAAAGTGATGCTGGCCTCATAAAAAGAGTTTGGAAGTATTCCATCCCTTTCTATCTTTTGGAACAGCTTTAGTAAAATAGGTATTGTCTCCTCTTTAAACCTTTGATAGAATTCCCCTGGGGAAGCCATCTGGCCCTGGACTTTTGTGTCTTGGGAGGTTTTTGATGACTGCTTCAATTTCCTCCCTGGTTATTGGCCTGTTCAGGTTTTCTATTTCTTCCTGTTCCAGTTTTGGTAGTTTGTGGCTTTCCAGGAATGAGTCCATTTCTTCTAGATTGCCTTATTGGCGTATAGCTGCTCATAATACGTTTTTAAAATCGTTTGCATTTCCTTAGTATTGGTGGTGATCTCTCCTGTTTCTTTCATGATTTTATTAACTAGAGTCTTTTCTCTTTTGTTTTTAATAAGGCTGGCTAGGGGTTTATCTATATTATTAATTCTTTCAAAGAACCAACTCCTGGTTTTGTTGATTTGTTGTTCCACAGTTCTTCTGGTCTATTTCATTGAGTTCTGGTCGAATCTTTATTAACTCTCTTCTTCTGCTGGGTGTAGGTTTTACTTGCTGTATTTTATCCAATTCCTTTACGTGGGAGGTTAGCTTGTGTATTTGAGTTTTTCCAGTTTTCTGAGGGATGCTTGTATTGCGATATATTTCCCTCGCAGGAAAGCTTTTGCTGTATCCCACAGAATTTGATCAGTTGTATCTTCATTCTCATTAGTTTCCATGAATCTTTTTAATTCTTCTCTAATATCCTGTTTGACCCTTTCATCTTTTAGCAGGATGGTCCTTAACCTCCACGTGTTTGAATTTCTTCCACATTTCTTCTTGTGACTGAGTTCTAGTTTCAAAGCATTATGGTCTGAAAATATGCAGGGTACAATCCCAATCTTTTGGTATTGGTTAAGACCTAATCTGTGACCCAGTATGTGGTCTATTCTGGAGACTGTGCAATGGAGAGAATGTATATTCAGTTGCATTTGGATGTAAAGTTCTGTAAATATCTGTGAAATCTATCTGTTCCAGTGTATCATTTAAAGCTTGTTTATTTGGAGATGTTGTGCTTATTATCTGTCATTTACAGAAAGTGCCGTGTTGAAGTCTCCCAGTATAAGTGTATTATTATCTAAGTATGTCTTAACTTTGTTATTAATTGATTGATATACTTGGTAGCTCCCACATTAGGGGCATAAATATTCATGATTGTTAGGTCCTCTTGTTGGATAGATCCTTTAAGTGTGATATAGTGTCCCTCTTCATCTCTTACAACAAACTTTGGGATAAACTTTAATTTATCTGATATGAGGATGCATACCTCTGCTTTCTTTTGAGGACCATTTGAATGGTAAATGATTCTCCAACCTTTCATTTCCAGGCTGTAGGTGTCCTTGGGTCTAAAATGAGTCTCTTGTAGACAGCAAATAGATGGGTCTCGCTTTTTTATCCAGTCTGAAACCCTGCGTCTTTTGATGGGATCATTAAGCCCATTCCCATTCAGAGTTACTACTCAAAGATATTAATTTAGTGTCATCATACCTATTCAGTCTCTGTTTTTGTGGATTGTTTCCTTGGACTTCCTCTTTCTTTTACAGTCCCCCTTAATATTTCTTGAAGAGCTGGGTTTGTTTGGTGGTCACATATTCTTTCAGTTTCTGCCTATCTTGGAAGCTCTTTATCTCTCCTTGTATTCTGATAAGAGCCTTGCTTGATAGAGTATTCTTAGCTGCATGTTCTTCTCATTTAGGATCCTGAATATATCCTGCCAACCCTTACTAACTGCCAGGTTTCTGTGGAGAGGTCTGCTATTAATCTGATATTTCTCCCCATATAAGTTAGGGATCTCGTGTCTCTTGCTGCTTTAAGGATCTTCTCTTTATCTTTGGAATTTGCAAGTTTCACTATTAAATGTCGGGGTGTTGAACGGTTTTTATTGATTTTAGGGGGGGACCTCTCTATCTCCTGGATCTGAATGCCTGTTCCCCTCCCCCGCCCCCCCCCCCCCCCCAAGTTAGGAAAGTTCTCAGCTATGATTTGTTCAAATACACTTTCTGGACCTCTGTCCCTTTCGGCGCCCTCTGGAACTCCAATTAAACATAGATTCTTCCTTCTGAAGCTGTCATTTATTTTCCTTAGCCTTTCCTCTTGGTCTTTTAATTTTTTCTCTTTTTTTTTCTCAGCTTCCTTCCTTGCCATTAACTTGTTTTCTATGTCACTCCGTCATTCTTTACCTCATTAACCCTCATCGTTAGGACCTCCAGTTTGGGGCAGCCCCGGTGGTGCAGCGGTTTAGCGCCGCCTGCAGCCAGGGGCATGATCCTGGAGACCCAGGATCGAGTCCCAATGTCAGGCTCCCAGAGAGGAGCCTGCTTCTGCCTCTGCCTGTGTCTTTGCCTCGCTCTCTCTGTGTGTCTCAATAATAAAATCTTAAAAAAAAAAAAAAAAAAAAAAGGACCTCCAGTTTGGATTGCATCTCACTGAATTTTTTATTTCAGCCTGATTAGATCTCAATTCTGCAGTCATGAAATCTCTTGATTCCTTTATGCTTTTTTCAGAGCCACCAGTAGCTTTGTAATTGTGCTTCTGAATTGGCTTTCTAACATCAAATTATAATCCAAATTTTTAACTCTGTGGGAGAGAGTACTGTCTCTGATTCTTTCTTTTGTGGTGAGTTCTTTCTAGTCATTTTGCTCAGTGCAGAGTGGCTAAAAATAAGTTGTACTTGTTAGAAGCATGAACTCTTCTCTCTGTAGCATTCCAGCTGTTCGCTCTTTAAATCTCAGGCCGAGGGGAATCCCTGGATTTCTCAGCGGTTTGGCGCCTGCCTTCAGTCCAGGGCGTGATCCTGGAGACCTGGGATCGAGTCCACGTCAGGCTCCTTGCATGGAGCCTGCTTCTCCCTCTGCCTGTGTCTCTGTATCCCTCTCTCTGTGTGTGTGTGTGTCTCATGAATAAATAAAATCTTTAAAAATCAATCAATTAATCAATCTCAGGCCAAATTCATAGGTTTTCAGGATGATATGAAAGTTATCTAGGTAAGTTGGCGGGGACAGGTCACTTGGGGACCCTACTCTTCAGCCATCTTGCCCCACCCCGTTTGTGTTCTTTTGGCTTCTTTTTTTTTTTAAATTTTTATTTATTTATGATAGGCACACAGTGAGAGAGAGAGAGAGAGAGGCAGAGACACAGGCAGAGGGAGAAGCAGGCTCCATGCACCGGGAGCCTGATGTGGGATTCGATCCGGGATCTCGAGGATCGCGCCCTGGGCCAAAGGCAGGCACTAAACCGTTGCGCCACCCAGGGATCCCTTTTGGCTTCTTTTTAAGCTCAAGGCTTCCAATTTTCTTCCAATTAATATCTTATTATCAGTTGTGCCCAATCATTCCTGCCCACCAAACTCTTTTTGAGATATTCTATCATCCAACGTATCATGTGACCTCATCTGATATAGGTCATAGATACAAGTCACACTGGCATGACATTCTAGGTTGTCACTACCACACTGAAGATTTAAAACAAACAAGGCTAGGCACAGACACATCCCCTGACCCTCATCTCCCAGGGTGACATGAGCCTCCTACTACAGCAATCCTCTTAACAAAATGCAGAAGGTGCCCAGTTCTTGAATTTGAGCTAAAACCACAGGGTGTGCATTCTAAAACCCTGACAGGTTTTCATATGGTACAACACACAGCCCACTTACTACAGACCCCAACACTGAGGTCAAAATGCTAGTAAGTACCTTTTACAAACTATAAACACCAGCTCTCTAATTCAGCTGAACTGAATGTTTAAATAAATTTTTCCACTTTTCTCTTCTGGGAAATAGCAATTATTCTTGGTCACTCTATTATGCAACACCATCCTGCCACACAAAACTGAACGAACCCACATGCTGATGTCACGCTGCTGACAGTACTGGCACACAGTGCAGGCTGTAAAGAGAGCTCCTTCTCACAAAAACAACTGGAAACATTGTGGACTCAAACCTGCAGCAGCAGCGTACCAGCGTGAGCTCGGGGTCCTGCAGCCAGGAGGGCAGCGCTGCCGGCTGGCTCATCGCCTGGAACAGTGTGGCCCTCAGCGCACAGTAATTATCTCCACGGACTCGCCTTATGGAGGTGAACTTCTGAGATACCTCCTCATAGCCCTGGGTAAAAGCATCAGAGAAATCAAAATGGTCATTACTGACTCCAGACAGCAGGGAAAGTTTTATTCCTATGGAAAAAAAAGGTGCCCCTGATCACTGAAAGAAAGAAAATAAGGCTGGCTGAGTCCTTCATATAAGCTGTTCTAATTCCTTCCTTTATTAATCAAAAGAAATAAACAAATATTAATACTATATAAAACATTAGCATATGTAACAGATGCAACATTAAAAACACATAAATGAGGGGCCGCCCAGGTGGCTCAGCAGTTTAGCGCAGCCTTCAGCCCAGGGCGTGGTCCTGGGGACCCAGGATCAAGTCCCACATCAGGCTCCCTGCATGGGGCCTGCTTCTCCCTCTCCCTGTGTCTCTGTATCTGCCTCTCTCTGTGTGTGTGTCTCTCTCCCTGTCTCTCTGTCTCTCATGAATAAATAAATATTTTTTTAAAAAACCATAAATGATAAACCAAATAACATGAAAACACTAGCCACCCCCCAGGGTGAGAGTTAGCTGTCCTGTTCTAAACAACTGTTGTTTAACACTCACTAATAACCAACATTCTGAGGGGGTTAATCTGTGTTGAAAGTGACCCAAACTCTAATGAAGAGACAGGAAAGAAGAGAGAGGTGTACTAAGTTTATACCTCCGTATTTAAAAATAAAATAAAAATCCCAAGTTTTCACAGTATATTATAAAAAAAAGTCTACATGCTAGGAGACATCTGGATAAATCTATCAGATTCTTTAAAAAGTGGATTTAAGTGTCATTCTTACTTGGTCTGGAAGTGAAATGAGGAAATGAAAATGTTCAGTGACATACATGCTGTCACCCAGAAACAGCCATCCAAATGGAGCATTTGGAAGCATACTCCAAAAACAGCCACCATATAATGGTCCACAGGTACCCAGACAAGCTGATTTCTCCAGCAGAATGATGCTTGAGCATCAGAATCAACTTTGCTGCCTCCTGTACCTCACTAGCTTCCTCCCATGGGGCCTACTGCTCCTTTTGCTCATCCGTGCCAGTCCCTTGAATCTCTGCTTCCTTCCCTGCACTTAAACAAAGGAAGGAGCATCGCCCTCACCATAGGGTCCATGGGGTGGGGCACCATGCAGACTCTGCTCCAGCACTGGACCCTTGTTATTAGTTATTTTCAAGGCTCAAGTCATAGGATGATGTTCTCAGTGGGTGTGAGCAGCGTTTTCATTCAGTGCTCCAATCGCTTCAACATACTGAGGGCTGGTCAAGCACCATTTCCCTTCAGCGGACTCCCAGTTACCCTGTATACTCGCCACGGCTGACTCAACCGTAACTGCATCTTTTCAAATGCATAAATTACTCATGTTATTTCAGAGATGAATCAAGCTTCTAAAATTAAATTTGGGTTTATACACACTTACTTTCAAAAGAATATCCAAAACAAAAATAAACCATTAAGACCAATAAGGACAAAAAGAGAACTAAGATCCAAACTGTCATTGGGCCCCTGAGATGCTCTCCTTACTGCCACAGGTCCCAAGTGACACTTGTCTAACTGATGTGCCTTTTTTTATGTGGTCACTAAAAGAGTCCAACTATATGGTCAAATCTTTCATTCAAACTAAAATCACAGAGAAAGGGTTTTATTTTTATTTTTTTATTTTTGAGAAAGGGTTTTAGCAGGAGTTCCAAAATATGGAATATTCAGATAATTTAATAGATACTTTCGAGTCAGGGATCTTGAGGTGTCAACCGTTAAAACGGATCATTTAAAGAGTCTGAGGTTGTAAGATAAAATTGCAAGTCAGGGAAACCATTTCTAGGGAAGGTGAGAAAACATATGTTAGGTAACCGGCCTCCTGGTTATCGAATCTGGTACAGGGCTGGAGTCTGAAAAACCTGTAAGTGGCGAATATACACATTCAGCAGCTGGCTTCACAAATGTCAGCATTCATAGTCCCAGGCATTTCATGATCAACCTCTCTTACCAAGTGCCTGAGAAAGAGATTGGCAGGGAGCAAAGCTAAGACTGGCTCTCAGAGCTTTAAGGAGCAGCTACAATCTGAGTAAGGTCAGCCCATTTCAGGGCAGGTGTGAGAGCTGAAATGTGTGTTAAAGAGGCATAATGTTTTCTATAAAAACGAGCTTGGAGGAAAAGAACAGATACATACAGATGTTTAAAAATGTTAAACCCTACTCCTAACTCTGGGAGATGGGCTGGGGGTGGTGGAGGGGGAGGTCGGTGGGGGGTGGGGATGGCTGGGTGGCGGGCATTGGGGGGGTGGCGCTTGATGGGATGAGCACTGGGTGTTATTCTATATGTTGGCAAATTGAACAACACCAATAAAAAATAAATTTATATAAAAATAAATAAATAATAAATAAATAAAAATGTTAAACCCTGAACAATACAGATCTAAACAACAGAACAAATATTCCTATCAAATAGGACAGGTCAGTATCTCTAATATAGCAAGTATGTTCAAATTCGTAACATAAATAATCCCAAGAGAAAAATGAGCAAAGGATAAACCCAGAGGTTACAGAAGGTGATGGAAGTTTTAGGTTGAAACTGCCATTTTGTAGCTCAGAAATGGTCAAAGGGTAGCAATTTCACATCATTCAACCCACTAAGGAATGCTGGGTACAGGAGACATTCCAGGGAAGAACCAACAGGGTTCTTGTGCTTGACCAGTGTGCAATGGGTATGGGCCAGGGGTCTGACTTGGACAATGACCCAGCCCAGTCACAGCAGGACCATATGTCATGGGAATCCCCAATGTCCCACAGCCTTGGACACTCCATAAGGGTCGTCAATCTACGTGATGGGACCAGGAGGGGCAGCTCCAGGGACACCCTAACAAAGGGAGTAGTTTCCCTGCACAGGGAGCGTGGGAGAGCCTAGACCCCTCGGACAGGAGGGCAGACCAAACCGAGAGAAACCTCGGTTTGGCATCTGCTAGTCCCATCCCTAAAGCTTTTACCACACAAGGCCAGAAGGACATTCCCAAATGACCCCAAGAGGACAACCATTGATTGGCCCAACTCTGAATAGCACAGCATCATTTAGATGCATTTTTCAAAGAAACCAATGCTGGCCCTACATTAATACTGTGACTCAAAACCAGTCCCTTAACATTTGAAGTCTGTCTTCTCATCTCTAAAATTCGACCACCAATATTTATGTAGTCTAGGAACAGTTGAAACTACGTCTAAAAATATAAAAGGACATATTATATATTTTTAATTTTTTATTGGTGTTCAACTTGCCAACATATAGAATAACACCCAGTACTCATCCCATCCAGTGCCTCCCTTAGTGCCCGTCACCCAGTCACCCCCACCCCCCGCCCACCTGCCTTTCTACCACCCCTTGTTCATTTCCCAGAGTTAGGAGTTTCTCATGTTCTGTCTCCCTTTCTGATATTTCCCACTCATTTTTTCTCCTTTCCCCTTTATTCCCTTTCACTATTTTTTATACTCCCCAAATGAATGAGACCATATAATGTTTGAAGGACATATTATATAATTACTTATGACAGACTACTGGAAAGACTTGAGGGGATCCCTGGGTGGCTCAGAGATTTAGTGTCTGCCTTCGGCCCAGGGCGTGATCCTGGAGTCCCAGGATTGAGTCCCACATCGGGCTCCCTGTGAGGAGTCTGCTTCTCCCTTTGCCTGTATCTCCGCCTCTCTCTCTCGCTCACTCGCTCTCTCTCGCTCTCGCTCTTGCTCTCTCTCTTTCTGTCTCTCATGAATAAAATAAATAAAATCTTTAAAATAAAAGGAAACACTTGAAACCTTCTTGTATCTAGGGATCATACCTTTTTCATACATGTGGCTTTTTGTGTATTGCCCCTCCATTCTTTTTTGCAGTAGTCCATGATGTCCATTTCAGGAGCCACACTTAATCTAGCTTCTGCTGAAGAATCAGAAAGGAAGGTGGGTGGATAATGAAAGAAAGCATAATCAAAATAACAGCACTGCTTTACTCAGGTTAATTTTTCTATAACTTTATTCCAAAAAGATCCAGAACCCCGCCACTACCTACAACCATCCCCTCGCTCCTAGATAACTCAGAGATCTACCAGCCAGAGTGATGCATTTAAAACTGAAGTCAGACAATTATCATCACTCCTGGGTTCTGAGAGCTCCAGAACCTCCCACTGGAGTGGAATCAATGTCCTTACTTCCTACAAGGGCCCCTGTCCTGGCCTCCCACTGCCTCTGGCCTCAGCTCTCCAAACTTGGACTGCTCTGGCCGGATCAGCAGCCTCCCTGTACTTCCACACACTGTGGGGCTCCAGCACTCCCTACAGGTCTCTGCTCAAATGTCACCCAACACTCATATGTCACGATGTCACACACACACCTTCACTCTATTCCCCTTTTACTGTTTTGTTTTTCTTCTAGGCACTCATCAACACCTGACATATTTCTTTTTCTGCATTTCTCCCTAAACCCCCACTCATGAATACAGTAAAACATAAGTTTTACTTGAGCCCAAGGACTTATTTTGTGTCTCAACTGTGTCCTTAGCACTTGGAACTTCACTGACATAAGGTGTCCAAAAATATTAATCAAACTAATTGTGCAACAGTCAGAACTATGAAAAAAATACATCTAATGGTTTTTAATTAGTTTTATATAACCATTATACAAAGAGATAACACCTACCATAACAGAAATTATATGTCTTTATTTATTTATACTCTGCCCTCATCCCAAAAGGCTATAAACTATTGATAGGAAGCCAGAAACTAATGAAGCTCTCAATGTTAGCTGAACTACAGACCTCACATTGGATTCTAGTAATACATTAAAAATATAATTTCCAATCAGACAAATTATATAATAAAAAATGGGCTTTAGATTTTCCTTGTTTAACATATGGGCTCTGGGGTCTGATTTTGTGGTAAACATGTACGCACGCACATGGGTATGTGTGTTTTAGGAAGATAACTCTCAGGCAAATCTTGACTTCCTTTACAAATTATTAAAGAAGTAAATGTTAGCAAGGAAATTAAGACATAAACACAGAAGTACCTTATAATGTATTTACTCCTGAGGAAAGCTGTAAACTAAAAACACATTCAGCTTGATTCAACAGGTATTTACTGAATGTCTGCTATATGGCAGGCATTGAGCTAGAAACTGAGCTTACTGAGCCAGTTTACAGATGACTAAAGTAAAGACTACAAGTGCTGACAAGCAAGGGTGTGACGGATGCAGGGATGAGGCAGCACAAAGTCTTTGCAGCTTACAGACAACTCTATTGCCTAAGTTAGGACTGGCTTTACAAGTGTAATATACTACTGAAAGAGTAATACCCAGAGACCACAAATACCAATGCTGCACAGCCAATGCTAAATAGAGACCCATCAGTGTTTTAATTTAAGAAACATTTTTTTGAACATGTACTTAGTGGAGGGAAGAGCTCCTTGTATCTGCCTTCTCACTCACTTCCCCACAAAGTAGAAGGAATGGCAAACATCTGGAGTTGAGGACACTAATAAGGCCCTGTTTTCCCACCAGGCAACGTGAGGAGCCTCAACAGACAACACACTTCCAGTTCAGGAAGGCCCTCCACAAAGTGGAGCCTCCCTGCTCTCCTGGCCGCAATCCTCACTGCAGTCCCCAGTCCTGCCCACACCAAGATAAGCCCAGCCTGTGAGCCTGGCTGGCAGGTCCACTGCCCCCAAACTGAGAGGACACAGCAGGGGACCTCACCGGGTCAGTCAGGAGGCCAAGCCACAGGCCACAGCCCTGTGCTGAGAGGCCTCAGGGGACAGTGAGGGCGGGGAAGTGGAGGACCGACACAGCTGCCAGCACCAAAATGTTACCTGAAGTTCCATCCTGCTGCTGTTGTTGGGGAGGAGGGCTCCAGCAGCCAATGCATGCCCTCCTTTAGGACAGGAGGTGGGGGCACAGGACAAGGCTAGCCCTGACCTCAAGCTGCTTAGGGTCACCACAGTTCCTTTCTTTGTTGAAATACAAACTACACAGACTCTGTTACTGCTTCCAAGAAAGAACACTACTAATGTCAAAAAACCAAAACCAAAACAAAACAAAGGAGAAGCTGAAAACCAGAGTGGTAAACAGGAGCTCAAGTAACCAACAGGTCTGGTCCTTAAGCACCATATGGTAATAAAGATCTGAAGAAACTGCCCAGAGTGGAACAGAGGCTATAAGATAAAAGTCTATGAAGGGGCATGTCATGAAGGGCTTTGGATGGCTGAGGGAGGCAAGCAAAATTTCCTTCCAGTTCTGGAAGAGTAAGTAGAGAGAATAAGAAAAGGACAATATTCCAGAAAATAATGGCTGAGAATTCTCCCAAACTAATGAAAACTAGGCATCCAGGGATCCAAAAGGAAGACTTCAAGCAGTAGGTTTTTAAAAGTCCACACTTAGCAGACATCAGAAAGAAAGTGCAGGATACCAAAGACAAAGACAGAAAAAACTGACATTATCCATCCACCAAGGATTAGACTGCAATACTGTCAACAACCTCATCTGCAAAAGGATTAAACAACTACTCATCTGGAGTTCTTAAAAAAGAGGTTGAGATACATTTTCAAGCAAACAGAGCTTTCCACTGACAGACCCTTACAAAGACCTTCCAAAAAGCCTCATTTCAGGAGGGCCAATGAACCTAGAAGGATATGCAAGGAGTATACAGGGACCCACTTTAACCTCGGACAAAAGCTGGAAATGACACAGCTCCCTGAGAAGCTAAAACACTTGCGTAGGGAGGGCTGCCCCTGCAGACAGGGGAAACCCACAGCAGAGCACCTGCAGAGCCACAGGAAAGCAGGAGGTCCCCGCAAATGCAGCAGCGACCCGGGATGACGGAAGAAGCACTTTCTCCTGAGGAATACGACTAACAAGGACTCCACGCCCGAAGTGAATGGTGTCCAATGGCAGCAGCAGAAACAGAGCATCCTCCAAGTGTCATGGAGGACCAGAACAGATGGCGCAGGGACACACCTGACTGAACAATTACAGAGACGCTCATCTCTACCACAGTAAAAATTTACACCAGTTCCTTGTGAGGACAACTCAAGAAAGACCTGGAAATGATCAAAAACCCCACTGTGTGTCATTTGCTCCTAATTACACACATGGCAATATTTTTCTTAACCATAAACTAAACACAAACTACTTCTCAAAACCAACCAGCAGAACATGTACATGCAAAGGTAATGAGAGAGGAAATGCCACCTGGGAATCACTAGTGGCATATCCTGCAAGTGCAACATCCCCACTTGGCTCCTGCACAAGCTAGTAGGGAAGTTCTTCTCTGAAGACAGCCCTGCTGGCCATTCCCCACAGCAGAGGACGCCAGGGGTCGGGCCTCACCCTAGCAGCAACAGCCCATAGGTATGAAATGAAGGTCTGGGAAGGATGAATGAGAAGAGCAGGCATAACTGAGAAGAAACATGGACAAAAGGTCATGAAACAATGAGACAATTCCTGCTACTGATCCCATGATCATCCTTTAAGTCAATCAAGTGCACATGGCCATTTTCATGAAAAGACACATGGAGCCAGCTTCTTGAGAAGTCCTCCCATTTGAAATGAAAAGTGCATTTCAAATCCAAACTCTCCCTCTAAGAATACAAAGGAAATCACAAACTGAGAGAGGGTGGTGTCAAGGGTACACAAATACGCACATGTGCAAAAATGACACGAACATAAAGGATGTAGAGAGAATATCTGCATTACAATTTTAAAACCTCAGGAAACAGTATTCCTCAAACATACTCAGCAAAATGAATAATAGATGCAGCTAAGACCATATGCATAAGAATGTTTCCTAGGAAGCACATCTCAGCATTTTATGAAAATGGATATATTCACTTACTGCATTTTCTACTATAAATAGTAAGAACTCACAAATAAACAATTCCAAACATACCTGATAACTCTCTTTCATGTGTAAGTAATTCTTTCTCCTTTTCTATTTCATCCGCGTCACGATACATATCCTCCTCACTGAAATCACACCAAATTAAGACATTTCAAAAATTTGTTGCACTGACATTTTCCCTCCTGTTACATTATGCACGTGCTTAAAAAATTTATTAGACACTAAAAGTCTAACTTTCTCATGTTACATGATGATCTGATAAAATATGAATCTTAAATCTTGGATGTTCATATTTCTATCATTCCACTTCAGGATTTCTTAATTTCAATGAGATACTTAAACATCACTTTAGTGGCTACATAGCTCTGAAGTCATTTTAACTGTAACATTTATTAATATGGGCCCTCAACTATATTCATAAGCATCTTAGCATGTGTCTTATCATTGAAGCCATGTCATGATCCTATCAAGTTCCATGAATGAAGAGAATACTAATAAAAGTATTTACACAGGAATGCAGGCCAACTGTATTATGTCACAAGCACATTTTACAATCACTAATTTAAAAACAAGGATAGGAGAACAGCAATTATTATAGGCTCAACAAAACTAAAAAACAAAACAAAACAAAAAAAACCTTCCAAGGCTCCTTCTGCTCCCTGACCCCCACATTCAAGCAGCCAGTCACATGAAAAATTAGAGAGGTTGACAATCCATGAAAGACTCCTAACTCTGGGAAACGAACAAGGGGTGGTGGAAGGGGAGGTGGGTGGGGGGAAGCGGTGAGTGGGTGACAGGCACTGAGGGGGGCACTTGACGAGATGAACATTGGATGTTATACTATATGTAGGCAAATTGAGCTACAATACAAAACAAAAAATAAATTTAAAAAAAGAATATATCCCTACTGTCCCACATACCTGAAGCGCTGCCACTCTGACCAACTTATGTAATAGGTTTCTAAAATATCTAGTCTCATTTAGCAAGTGAACAAGAACCTACTATGTACTAGAAAGGGAAAAAAACCCATTGGGTGCTAGACAAGGATTGATAAAGGGTATTTCCTTTAACCCCTCAAGATAAGCCATAATTTGATAATGATGAGAAACCAAAATACCAACTCTATCTTTTGCTAAAACCACAAGACATATGAAAGCCCAAATAGCTTCAAGGGAGATGAAGAAACAGTAAATGACAGAGGACAGGGAAGCTTCCATGCCAGCAAAGGAACATCTGCTGGATGGTAAGACAGTAAACCTGCAGAACCCTCAGAAGCACTTAGGAACTGGAAGTGTCAAGTACTTTTCAGGGTACAGGAGGCACCCAGAGCAGAAAACAAGGAAACTGGCTGATGTACACATAAAGTGTAATCAGACCCCCAAGTCCCTAGGTTTCCTCCCCATGACAGCACATCCCCAATCTTCACACAAGACAGAGGCTCCAGGCATGATGACACACAGGAAGGAGTTAGTTAATAACAAATAAGGACCTGAGTGAAGGACCTGAGATACTCCCGTCCCCAATTCCCTCAGCACCCCAGCTCCTAGTACATGGCCCAGCATAGCAGGGGGAAAGAAAGAAGGGATGAGCAGGAGCAAGACACAGATGAAGAAGGGATAGTGAGAGAAGCAGATGAAGTGGAGAATCTAACATACTTAACCTTCCCCACCTCACTGAAACCCTGTAATGGCTCCCAAATAAGCAGGGAAGTCTGTACGTAGACCTAGCCTGTATTCCACAATTCCTCTACACATACCCACACTTCAGTCCAAATACTTGACCAACACTAGCCTACGCTTTTACATCTGTGCTTGGCTCAATCCATTCCCTTTGCTAGAATGGCTCACTGCCTAACATAGTAGGACACATGTGATATGGGTGATCCCGCTGTAGAGTGCCATGGTTAGAGTGAGGACCCGAAAGTTACAAGGTCTCATTAGCCCTGTGTGTGTGTGTGACTATGGAGATAAAGCAACTATACCTCTTGGTGCTTAAATTTAACCACTTAAACTTAACCACTGTAAAAAGGACAATAAGAGAACTCATCTCTAAAGATTGTTGTGAAAATGGACACATGTAAAATACCAGCTCTCCAAAAAGTTCTTCTTATTCTCATACTACACCACTGGTGTGGAATACTAATAAACAATTCACCCACTGGTCATTTATTGTTCCTTTTTTTCTCTCTAAATAAAAGTAATGTGTATGGGCCTACTTTTTTTATTTTTTATTTTTTTAAAGATTGATTTATTTATTTATTCATGATAGAGAGAGAGCAGCAGCAGAGATAAAGGCAGAGGGAGAAGCAGGCTCCATGCCAGGAGCCTGACGCGGGACACAATCTCGGGTCTCCAGGATCGCACCCTGAGCCAAAGGCAGGCACCAAACCACTGGGCCACCCAAGGATCCCCGGGCCTACTTTTAAAAATAGTGTGGGGCTGAAGGGACATATTAGGAAAAGATACTTTCCATGTTCTCCCACCCCCTGTGAGATTCCAAGTAAAAGGTATGGTGTCCACCCAGGGAGCCTACGACTAGAGGTAAAAGCAAACAGAAACCAGATTCACAGGGACTATACATCAAAAGCTTAAAATAAAAAGTGACTAAATGTGTTAGTTCTTCTTTTAATAATTTCATTATATCTTTTGGCCTCCATTCTAATCTTATCAAATAGGAGAGAAATTCTGATCCTATAAAATAAGCATTTAAGTGAACCACTTTCTTGACGTCATCAGAAGCATGTCTTTGGGCAAGCCACTTTCCTAATCTTGGCCTTGGTTTTTCTCATCTTCAAAGTGAGAAGAGCAGATAAGATCTGTACAATCTACATGGTTCCTCTTCCAGGGCTTAAGTTCTAACAAACTACGAACCTATGCGTTGTTAAAAATTGCGCTTCAAGAGAATTCTGTGGCTATGCTGCAGGCACATGTGGCTCCACTTTTGTCCTCTTCCTTTTAATTTGCAAAATAACCCAAGTGCAATTGCAACACCAGTGCCCAGAGGAAGTTCTCTAAACAAGCATCTCTTAGTACAGCTACACATACAAATTTCCACAAAGGGCAATAGGAATGGAACGAAAAGAAATCAACATGAGAACTAAATGTGAAAGGAAGACAGAGTAGAAAGGAAGATTATTGGAAATAAAAAAGCACTTATTCAAGATATACAAATGCAGTAAAGTAGAAATGGGTGAATGGGAGGCCAGAGTACATTCAAATTACTTAAACCACAACCAGATTTCATTCAGATCCTGTGCATAAATGTTTGCTAACTTCCCTGGCCACCAAGGACAAGTATCCAAGGACGTTTGCTGACTTTACAAGGCCACAAGGAAACCGTATAATATGGCCTTTAAAGGCCACTTTTAAAATGATACTAAAGCTGTAATTCCTTGGAGAGAGAATAAATTTTAAGCAATAAGTTCAATTAGTATGGTCAGAAAAGAAATAAGTCATCCAACATAAGGGCAATCAACTGAAGAGATAGAGATGTGTAAGGACAAGAAAAATAAAAATATTATTTAATAGTTCACTCAATAATCTTTTGCTTTAACCTTTTTAAATATCAAAATATTAAAACGGAAAATAGCAACAAAATATTTATATATTTATATTTTGTATTTATATAATTTATGCTTATCGTACATTATATTTAAACTAGAGGTTTGAATTTTTGTTATGAGAAGGGAAGGTAGTGAAATAATGAAAAGAAAAAGGATATCACATTGTAAGATAAAATCGTCATGACTGGTTTCAGAAATTTGGTAAACTTTTGTGTTTACATGTCAAGTTGGGGTGGGGAGTGTCTACCATTTGACACCGAAGAAGCTACTGAAGCTCAAACTCTCAAATGATCACCATGGTCAAAGGTTTCCTTCTAGAAAACATAAAAGATAGGTAGAAAAGTAAAACGAAGTCTTAAATGTGACTTGATATCTTGGGGACCACTGCATGTGAGTCATGGTCAATAACACAAGTGAGTTAAATTTTAAAACCAAAATCCTAGTAAGTTCTACTTAAAAAAGTCTTATTTTAAAAGGGATTTGTTTATTCATAAGAGATACAGAGAGAGAGACACAGACATAGGCAGAAAGAGGGACTTGACCCCAGGATCCCAGGACCATGACCAGAGCCAAAGGCAGAGGCCCAACCACTGAGCCACCCTGGTGCCCCTACTTAGAAAATTAAAATTCTTAGTTTAGTATATTGTTATTTTAAAGAATGTATTTTCTTTTTTAAAATTTTTTATTTATTTATTTGACAGAGACAGAGAGAGAGCGCACGCACCCACACATGTGCACACAAGCAGGGGGAGGGGCAGAGGGAGAGGAAGCAGACTCCCTGCTAAGCAGGGAGCTTGATGTAGGCTAGAACCAAGGACCCCGGGATCATGACTTGAGCCACCCTGGCGCCCCTAAAATGTGTATTTTCAAGCTCCCATTCTCTTAAGCTAGAGATGAAATATCTTATTCTTAACATCGAAGCAATATACATGATTGAGTCAACTACATGATTTTGCATACTAAATTATAACCCTTCTTGATCTGTTCAAAGACCTGCATAAGAATAAATGTTTAAAAATTTAATTTAAAAATGGTTACCACATACAAACAAAATTATACTGTTGCCAGGAACAAAAGCTATCAACCAAAGTCATAGAGCTCAGTGAAGCAAGGCATTTCTGTAAAGCCAATTTTTCAAGTTCTGATAAAAGTAAACATGTAATATGAAAAAAGCCAATTCTAATGTATATGAAAAACTAACAAGAGAGCATTGTAATCACTCACCATTTTGAACATTTGCATTAAGTTCCCCTTAGTTGTCTAAAAAAGCTAAGCTGAGTATGGCTTTATTCAGCTTTCTAAACTTGAATGCTGCAATTCACGCTTAACTTAGCCTATCCTAGAAGACCAATGGCCCAGGCAGTGTTGGTAAGACAGTGTCAACCGCTGTGACACCAATGTACCTTCCCACAAATGCACAGGAAAAGCAAAGACCACTCAACCCAGCCTTTCTCCACCACTTAGCAGTTTTAGAGAGGTGAACAACACATCAAATGCAGGAAAGTACTGACACCCAAGCCAACATTCCACCTCCCTTCTGCAAGTGGACTTTCCATGACTGGCTCATGCTACTCCATGTGACTTCCAGAGGTGTCTGGGGACAACCCAGATATCCTCAACAATGAGGTTTGAAACAGTCTTTACTTCCAGGTGGGAGACGGGATAGGAGGAAGTAGCTGTTACCTCATCAAACATTGTCCCACAGGAGCTAAGGAGTGAGGTAAGTGGGACAACACATTCACACAACATATTTAGCAACATCCAAGAACAATGGTTTAATGACTTATTCACAGCCCTTTTGAAGATCCAAAGCTTTCATTAGAACCTTGGCCCAGAAAAACAAATATACATAAAATTTTACCTTCAATTTCAGATGGGTTCACAAACATGTTCCCCACCACACACTGCCAGCCTATGGACCCCAGATTCAAACCATGTCCCGTCATTAGGCAGAGAAAGATGGGCCTTGCCATAATCTTGCTTCTCAATTCCCTAAGCATGTCTAGCCTGGCCACCAACCATGTCCCAGGACCATCTTTGTCCTTAAGGATGGTAGTTTACTTTAGCTAAGGGCAAGAAGTAGACACAGTCTCAGCCTCAAATGCGGGGTGGGGGGGGCAGAGTGGTGAGCAGAGGAAAGAGCACAGAAGACATGCTCACAGGAAGAGTGAGGCAGCTTCAAGGAAGTCAACTGAATCTGGTGTGACCTAAGACTTCTTCAAATCAGACCGTTAAGTCATCTGTAAGCCATCCTTAGGGCTTGTCCAGGGGATGCCAGCCAACAACAACTCTCAAATGAGCTAGAGGAGGAAAGGGGAAGGTCATTATAAATCATGCTCCTCTGCCTGGTTTTGCTGAGAAAGCCAGAAAAAAATGGAGGTAGGTTCCCACCGAGGCATCAGGAAACTTGGCCCTGAAACCTACTCCCTGTCTCCCTGGCCAAGAAGCACTTCTGTTATCTGCAACTCAGTTTCCTAATGTGTAAAACGGCAAACCTAGGCTGGGTGGTTTTGTTTTGTTTGTTTGTTTGTTTTTATTCCTTTCAGACTAAGTCTGTAAATCTATTGACAGCAGTAAGAAGTATGCCTCAAAACCTTTTCATCGGCAAATAGCCCTCCTTCCCACCGTGGCCTAATTCCCCAGGTTCTGACTCTGGAAACCACATACAACAGAAAAACTTGCCAAATAACTATGCATACTTTTAGGAACATGGTTCTGGATTCAAAGTTTCTCCATCTCGAAGGGGCATGAGAATGCTAAGGTGCAGCTTCTGAGGGGCACGGTCTCTAATCGGGGAGTCATAGCTCCGACCACCAGGGCAAGAGCAAGGCTGCAACAGGTAGAAACCAGGATGGGCTGTGGAGGGGCAGAAGAAGACACTCCCTCTCTCTCCCCGCAGCCCAGCCTGCTCTACTCTCTGCAGAGTCAGAGGTGCTTCTCTAACCCTGAAGCGAGAGACTACATTAGCTCACACATGGGCCTACACGGTGGTTTCAATTAAAAAGTAAAATGATACTACTTAAAAATCAGGATATTTCATTAAAAAGTCAGGATACCCGGATGCTTTGAATACAGAAAATCCAGGAAGCAGAGGGTAGAACCTAGTGGCCTCTGACCCCAACAGTGATGGACACAGCTCTCCAGAAACCCATGGTCCACACCTGGCCTCACTCACTCAGGTCACCTGCATAGCTCCCAGGGTTTGAGACTGCCTTCGCCAAATCTTTCCCAGTAGCCATAAACACATTGAAAGTGGATAATAATACCATCCCAAGAGGGTTTGGGTGCTCAATAAATGAGAAAGTCAATGCCCATGGTAAAGAACCATACACATGAAAGTTATTATAATACACTAGCTGCACAGGCCTGCCAAAGATTGCTTTATAGGAAATGCCAAAAAAAAAAAAAAAGTCACATTTGAACGCACCTAATAATTCAACTTGCCAGCCAATAAGCTACCTGTCAAAATAGTTATCTGAGTGCTTTCATCAATTTTGGAATTCAAAGGCATTTATATGTGCCTAGAACCTGAATGTGTAGAAAGAGTTTCTACACTTCAAGTCTATATTCGGCTTCCACCTCACTCCCACTCCCTTGCTAAAATCAACGCTTCCGATTTATGCTGCCTTCTTTACAATTCACTAAACAGTTGATCTAACCAGCACTGCCCTTCGTTATTTAAAAATAAAGGGGGAGGGATCCCTGGGTGGCGCAGCGGTTTGGCGCCTGCCTTTGGCCCAGGGCGCGATCCTGGAGACCCGGGATCGAATCCCACGTCGGGCTCCCGGTGCGTGGAGCCTGCTTCTCCCTCTGCCTGTGTCTCAGCCTCTTCTCTCTCTCTCTCTCTCTCTCTCTGACTATCATAAATAAATAAAAATTTAAAAAAAATAAAGGGGGAGGGGGATAGCTAATTAAGCCGTTAACGGGCAGAGAGCATTGGGTCAGACTCCGTCCAAAGTCTGTTCCACAGGTGGGAGCTCATCCAGCAGCGACTTGCCTTCCGAGAACAAACTAGTCGCAGGGCTCAGTTTTCCCTCGGCTCCGACAAAAGCAACCTCACTTTCTTCCCCAACCAAGTCGGAGGAAAGATGCACTGGGAGTTAGTTAACAGTAAGCTTTTCCGGCTTGTTTCCCAAGTTCCCGGCGCTTTAACTTTAGAGCCTTGCAGAAATAAGAACAGAGGGCGCTGGGGGCCAGACCTGGGAGACCGCGGGCTCTGAGCGCAAGCGGCCTGAGAGCTCCTTTCCTTCGCCGACGACCTGCCCCGGGCCCCAGGGAGCGACGGGCTGTCCGCCGGCGCCTCCGCAGCCCAGCCCACCCCTGCGCAGCGGGCCCGCGGGGACCGCCCGGCGCCCCGCCCGCCCCCGCCGCACCCCCCGACTCACTGCTCGGCCGGGCACCGCACCGCGGGCCGGGGCTGCCCGCCGGCCGCCGCCTTCCCGCCCTCCCGCGGCGCGGCTCCCGCTTCCCGCGCCGACTTCTCGGCGCAGCCCGCGCCCGGCCACGCTCCGGGCTGGGGCATGGCGCCCCGACTCATGCGGCCGCCTCCGAACGACCCGGAGCCCCACCCGTCCGGGCGCCCGGCCGCAGCCGCCGCCGCACCCCAGCCCGCCGGCTTCCGAGGCTGCGCAGAACACTTCCGCACGCGTCACAGCCGCCCGCCCCGCGGCCTCTGACCCGAGGGGAGGGGGCGTGGCCTCTGGGACCCGGCGGCCGCGGAGCCCTTCCGCGCGGCGTCGGCTCACGCGGCTGCGCAGGCTCAGCCCCGGACGACTAGGGCCGCCGGCCTGGGGCGAGCACTGCGCATGCTCCACACGGCGGGCCCCCGCCGGAGTTCCTCGGGCGTCGGCTTTCGCCGGTCGTTGCGGCCCGGCCGGGGCGTGACGAGCAAACCCTGCGCGGGCGGAGGGACGCGTCCTTGGGGACGGGGAGGCGAGGAAGGCCGGCTCACTGTGTGCTCGGGGGCCGTGTTCTTTACCGTGAAATTCGATGTTAGGAGAATATGAGCAAAGGGAAAATGTTAGGAGACCTCAAAGATCGGGAGAAGGCGAAGTGTCTCATCCCCGGGGAGAGAGCGGAGACGCCCCTGAAGCTGAAGGTGAGCAGCAGCCAGCGCGGGGCAGTGCCGGCGAGCGCAGGGCCGCGGCTCGGAGGGAGGCGGCCCGTGGCGGCCCAGGCACCCGCGAGTGCTGGGGGCACCTCGGCGAGCCGCCCGGGAGTCTACCGAGGAACGCTGCTGCAAGAAGGGTGCCACGGACCTGATCGGGAAAGGCTTCCTTAGGCCGGGGAGGCGGCTTGTGCTTCATCCTCGCTGAAACATCGTGAAACATCGGGAACCGGTGACTAGTTTGTTTGTTTATGTAGATACCAGGAAGTCTTATTTTTCGACTTTTTATTTTTTTGATATTTTATTTGAATTCGATTTGCCAACATAGAGTTTAAGACCCAGTGCTCACCCCATCGCGTACCCCCCTCAGTGCCTGTCACCCAGTCACCCCGTGCCCCCGCCCGCCTCTCCTTCCACAACCCTTTGTGTCCCAGGGTCAGGAGTCTCTCTTGATTTGCCTTCCTCTCTAATTTTTCCCCACTCAGTTCCCCTCCTTTCCCTTATAACCTCTTTCATTATTTCTTATGCTCTGCTTATGAATGAAACCATATGTTTGTCCTTCTCCTACTGACGTATTTGACTCAGCATAATATCCTCCAGTTGCAAACCCGTGGAAGCAAATGGTGGGTATGCATCCTCCTCATGGCTGAGTAATGTCCCATTGTATATACAGACCACATGACCTTTCACCATATTCATCTGTCGATGGACATCAGGCTCCTTCCACAGTTTGGCCACCGTGGACTTTGCTGCTGTGAACATTGGGGTGCAGGTGTCCCTTGTGGGGGAGGGAGGCGGTGACTATTTTAAAAGACCACTTTGTTAGAGAAAAGGTTGGAAAGGGATGAGGCTGGAAGTCCAGTTTTGGGGAGACTGGAGAGTAGTGGGCACCAAAGGGAGAAACTGGATAGAAAAGAAAGACTATTTCCTCCTCCAAGAATATTGGAGGAAAGTAGTCAAAAGGCACAAACTTCCAGTTACAAGAGTAATTATTTATCTAAATTATTTATCTAAATAATTAGTAGGGATGTAATGTACGACATGATGACTATGTCTAATGCTGCTTATGGTACCTAGGAAAGCTTTTAAGAGTAGATCCCAGGAATCCCTTGGTGGCCCAGCAGTTTAGCGCCTTCAGCCCAAGGCCTGATCCTGGAGACCCGGGATCGAGTCCCAGGTGGGGCTCCCTGCATGGAGCCTGCTTCTCCCTCTGCCTGTGTCCCTGCCTCTGTGTGTGTGTCTCTCATGAATAAATAAATAAAATCTTTTAAAAAAAACAAAAAATGAATAGATCTTAGCAATTCTAATAACGAGAATTTTTCTTGTATCTCTCTGATAGTTGTTAACTAAGCCAATTACAGTAATCATTTCACAATATATGTAAACCAAGCATCTTGCTATACACCTTAAATTCATACAGTGATGTGTACCAGTTTTTTCTCAATAAAACTGGAAAAGATAAAAAAATTTTTGAGGAAAATTTGAGGATAAAAAAAGGATAAAAATTGAGGATAAAATATTTTTTGAGGAAAGAACCATGGGATGGATTTTTTCCTTTAATTCGAAAAAGTAATAAATGCATGTGCTAAAAATATTCAGAGCATACAAAAGAATATAGGAGTTATATTTCCAATGGCTATTAAGGAAGTGGGATTATAGTGGGTTGAATAATGTCTCCCAAAATTCATGTCCACTTGGAACCTCAGTGAGACCTATTTGGAAATTGGGACTTTGTCGTTGTAATCAGTTAAGATGAGGTCATAATGGGTTAGACTGGGCCAGAAATCCAGTGACTAGTATCCTTAGGAAAGGATGCTGAAATACATAGTGACAGGAAGTACGGACATGTGAAGATAAAGGCAGAGATTGGAGTGTTGTGAGTATACATGGAGAAATGCTGGCAGCCACTAGTAGCTAGGAAAAGGCAAGGAAAGATAATTCCAAAGAGCCTTCAGAAGAAGCGTGGCCCTGCTGATAACTTGATCTCAGGCATCTATCCTCCAGAACTATGAGAAAATACATTTTTAATTTTTTTAAGCCCTCAGTTTGTGGTACTTTGCTGTAGCAGTCCTAGGAAACTAACAGATGAAGACTTATAAAATTCTATCAGGCTGAATTTATTAATAAGGGCCCACCAAGCAGATATTCTAGATACAACATGTTACCTCCAGGGATTAGAAAGCTAACAATTTGTTTGAATGGTTACTGAGTATGTCTTTTTCTATTATGCATGTGAATCTGGGAAAATAATCATAAGATGGGTTTAGGGACCCACTGGGCCCACTATAAGAAGGACCTGAGTGAAATCCTATTGATCACTTGACTTCCATCCACCCCAGAGGGCTTACACTAAATGAAATGCCAGAACTGCCTAGGATACTATTGAGGAAGGTATCCTAAGCCTTGGAGGTAAGTGGGGTTTACACGTTAGAATGGATTTATCATGTAAGACTTGCTCACTCACCCCTGGAGTGTCCAAAGGACACTACCTTTCACCATGACTATGAGAAGTAAATATACGAGGGAAGCCCCAGCATCTTTGAAGATATGCAATTGCTCTTCTCTGTAGTCAGATACATCTTACAGTGGAAACTACCACCATCAAACTCAGATTCCTAAATGCAGTGGGGATAAGGGAATCTAGGAATGCAGGAACCAAGAGGTGGCACTTAATTGTCAAAAACTAGATGTGGTTACTGTAATGGACAGCTGAACCAAAACAGTAATCAGAATTGTCTGACTTACAGAGACCTATGACATTGGCCATTTGATCATAGTGTCCCTAGGGAAAAAAAGAAATGGACAATCTACTAAATTCATACTTGGTATGAGCAGAAGAGTTCTAGGTCTAGCAAACAAAAGTCCTGACTTGCACGACCAGAACAGAGTGTCACATCCCCTCCACTATTTTTCATACTTGAGCCAGGTTATACCCTCAACTCTTTGAATGAAGGAGAGACCAAGTCCTTTTGGGGAAGGACCTTGTTCCACTGCCAAAAATGTGTATTACTAATTTGTTCCCAGCCTTCCCCAAAGGGTCCTATGGCCATCTATCAGGGTGATTGCTCACTGGGGAAAAGGAAATAATCAGACTTTTGAGAGATTAGTAGACAATGGGTCTATTTTGACACTGTTTCATAGAAACCCAGAACATCATTGTATCTACCAATCAGAGTGTAGTGGCTTATGATTAATGGAGTTTTAGCTCCGGTTCATCTCACATTATGCCCGGTGGGTCTCTGAACACATCCTATGGTTACTTCCCCAGTTCCAGAATGTGTAATTAAAATAGACTTGCTCAGCAACGAGCAGAATCCTCACATTGTTCCCCTGAGTTGTAAAGTGAAGGTTGTTATGGTAGAAAAGGTCAAATGGGAACCACTAAAACTGTTTCTGCCTATAAAAATGTAAACCAAAAGCAATACCACATTCTTGGAGGGATTGCAAAGATTAGTACTACCATCAGGGACTTGAGAGTTAGAGATGTGATAGCCACTACATCCCTTTCAAGAATTTGTCTATTTGACATGTACAGAAGATAGATGGCTCTTGGAGAATGACAGTGGATTTTCATAAATTGAATTCTGTGGTGATTCTAGTGGAACTGCTATTCCAGATGTGGTTTCATTGCTTGGGCAAATCAGCCTGTTTCCTAGTACTTGGTATGTAGCCATTGACCTGGCAAATGCTTTACCCCCTCTACACCTCTTGAAAGTCTACCAGAAGGGATTAACTTTCAACTGACAAGGCCAGTGATTCACTTTCACTATCTTACCACAGGATACATCAACTCTTCAGCCCTATGTCATGATTTAATCTACAAAGACCTCCTTTCCCTTCCTCAGAAAATCATACTAGCCCATTACATTGAAGATGATAGTACTGATTAGTCCTGGTAGGCAGGAAGTAGCGATTACTGTACACATATTGGTAAGATATTTGCACATTAGAGAATGGAAAATAAATTCTCCAGGATTCAATGGCCTTATTCCATGGTGAAATTACCAGGGATCCAGTGGTACGGGGAATATCAAAATAGCACTTCTAAGGGGAAGAATAAGTCATTACTAAAGGAAGAGGAAGGAGAAGTTGGCCACAGGTCCAGTCTATTGTGCAAGTTGCTCTGCCATTTGGGTCATAAGATCCAGTAGATCAATGGAGCTTGAAGTGGAAGTGGCAGATAGAGATGCTACTTGTAGTCTTTAGCAAGCATTTTTAAGTGAATCACAAGGCAAACCTTAGGATTTGGGACTAAAGCCCTGCTATCCTTCGTGGAAATTACTCTCCTTTTGAGAAACACCTCTCAGACTGCTACTAGACCTTACTAGATAAAGAATGCCTATCCGTGAGTCACAAGTTACCATGTGACCTGAGCTCAGCAATAAATCATGTCAGTGGATTGTAACCTTGATAGATGTGATCTGATGAAAATGGCTCTGCACTCATGTGATCTTCCAAAATCCCATAACCCCAGTCTAATCATGAGAAAAACATTGGACAAATTACAAAT